TGAGAACATACATACTCCCTCGTCCGCTATCGCATACTACATACTTGCCTTCTTTGGGAGTATTATGTTCGCTCCTCACACCCCTATCCTGCATTAAAACAATGCGGGTGGGCCTGTGGCCCGGGGGTCTTGACCGACCCCCATGCCCGGGAGAGAGAGAGAGAGAGAGAGAGAGAGAGAGAAAGAGATAGAGATAGAGATAGAGATAGAGATAGAGATAGAGATAGAGAGAGAGAGAGGGAACCGCCCTGGGCTCTCGCCCCAAGCAAGGCAAAGAAAGAGAGAGGGGGAACCTCACTCCAATCACAATGAGACTGGCAATCGGGTACCCAAAGTCGTTGCCCGTTTTCGCAGATGCCCTGCAAGTTGGCACTGCATGACCCTACTGGACCAAAAAGCGTCGAGCCACCCGGTACAGTACATAACTCCGCATAAGAACCATTCAGAACCAGAAGGAGGGGGAGACAGCGACAGGGGGGAACCCCTTCTGCAGAGACTTTAAGACCTTAAGACAGCAAGAAAGCGCGACAGAGGGACAGCAAAAGAATAAGAAACCGTGCTTGCAGCATGCATGGAGGGAATGGTGCAGGATGCGTGGACATGTAAGGATTCAGGCATTTATGCATGCGTGGCAACCGTTCCGGTATTCGCATCGGCTGTGCCAGCGCCCTGCCGGTGGTCAACACTTAGTATTATATATAACCACCACTACTACGATGAGATTGTGCATCGCCAGGAATTGGAATCTCCAGCCTACCCAGGTACACGATGAGAACCTTGGACGGAGGGAGCTCTTCCCCTGTCCTTCGAGGCCTGGCGCAGAAGCCGTACAGTTCCCATCTAAGCAATCTACGGTTATTTAGAAACTTTCTGCGCCTGTGAAAAAGGAACAATCATTGCCGTCAGTAGAAGTTTCTGCATGCTTCGGAAGCATCCGTGCAGCGGCAGGCCCCCGGAACGAAGGCGCGCCAAAACTGGATCGGGCCGCCACAATGACCTCAGCGCTTTCTAGCACCTGGTCATCCGCGCTGCGGACAGCGGGAATAGCGGCGACAGAGGCGCGGGCCGCCAGCATGCTCACACTACGGAGCTCCAAACTTGAGCCTTAATTAAGTGACGGCAAGATTCGCCGTGACATTTTTTCCAGGCCATGGGCTGTCCCTCGGCGGCTCATAACGATCACAAGCTGAGCCCACTTGTAGAATCCACTGCACGCATGCCTTGTCCCGTCACTGTACTAATCAGGCCTTGAAAACACGGATTCCGTGTGTGATCATGCGTCTAAAGTCTAAACATTTCTAGACCGTAAAGAGTCTGAGTCTGTAGTGGGGGTCCCTTCCCCGATGGCTCTCGGTTACAGACTTGCTACGAGTGTTTTGCGCAGAGAGGGTTGAGCTGTTTAGCTTTTCCAAGGCGCGGGATGCCCCTCCACCAGATGCCGCTGCTTGCTGAACACGAAGTCATGTCTCACTCCGTTTTCGTCTCTTAGTTTCTATCTCCGTCTCGCGTCTTTTCCTTGGACAACTTTCTGGTTTGGTGCTCGCGAAGCCTTAGGCCACAGCTTGCTCAATCAGCTCTTTTTTCCTACACGGAAGGAAGCTCAGGTATGTATTGCTGCAAGAATACGGTATGCAAGCCTGTGAATGCAAGAATCCGCGCTACTCGCAAGTTTGTAGGGGGTTCCGTTTTCACGCCCTTGATGCAGCTTGCAAAGATGCATGGCGATCGAGGAAGCAGAGAACGAGGTACTGGAGGAGATCGATGTGGATCAGCTTCGACCCATGCGACTCTAGTCTGACCAACGGCCTTGCTTGTACTTCAGTTTTCGGACGGTGATGTGTCTGGGTACTTGAGCACAGAGGCATGAGAGTTGAAGATGTCCTGAGGAAACACAAACACGAGTTCCGATCTGCAGAGTCGACACTCGAAGTCCAACTTTGTGGCAGAGGAGAAGGTTCAGTTTCTCGGACGGACCTTGGTACATGCATGCACTAGGCACACTTTTCGTGAACAAGGTTAAATGACGCCTGTGTGTGTCTTTGTTTGTATATAAGCGTGTTTGTCAGAACGCACGAGTGTATGTATGGCAACAAATGTATGTATATTCTATAGACCTGTACGCATGTACGGTTGCATGGATGCATGCATGTATGTATGTATTTTTTCATGCATGCATGCCTGCATGGATTGCTGGGTGTACGTATGTGGACCCATGCATGTATGTACGTACGTATGTCTGTCTGTCTGTCTCTCTGTCTGTCTCTTTGTCTGTCTGTCTGTCTGCCTGTATGTACGTATGTATGTATGTATGTATGTATGTATGTATGTATGTGTATGTGTATGTGTATGTGTATGTGTATGTGTATGTGTATGTGTATGTGTATGTGTATGTGTGTATGAGTGTGTGTCGGCACGTATGCCTGCATCTCATGTGCACATATATGTAAATGTAATGTATGTCTGTGTCAACGTTAACTTACAGCTTGCTGTTACTCAGATGAGCACGCACATACAGTCATGGTTGCGCATGTCCACATTTTTCGAATTACATGTGCGATGAGATTTCCAGTGTAGACCCTGCATCCCCACTGACCGGTGATGACCTGCCTCCGAGGTTCATGATCATGAGAGCTGAGAAGTCCAAACGGTTCGGCTCGAAGAAGCCCGGGTACGTCCGAAGCTAAGCCTGTAAAGTCAAGCCACGGCTGTGTTTGTTGCGCTCTCTCCCGGACGAGAGAAGTCTTAGATGCGAGGACCGATATGAAGGCAATTAAGATATACTTGGGACTCGGGACCTTACGGGACTTGACGATGCCATGTGGACGGGCTTTGGAATGCTCTTAGCACCAATACGAATACAGGTCGGGCAGATGAAGTTCAGGTGCAAAGGAAGGGCAGTAGAACGAGGAAGCGCCTGACTGCGAATGCTTTGCGCTGCGATTTGAGGTTTCGAGAGTCGGGTCGAACCTTGCTTGTGACAGGATGCAGAGTTGAGGTCTGCGTGGTGGCAAGGATTGTAAGGCTTCCTCCCGAAGAGTCAAAATCAGGGTCATGAATGTGTCATTAACAAGTCAAAAGCCAAGGCTAGCTTGTACCGAACAGACCGAAGAAATCTGAGCCTGAGTGCCCCTATTTGTCCAAGCAGGAGCATCGAAGGTGCAGGTTGCCAGTTGACTTTGAAACGGTCTTCAGGGCCTATCCTTTTCCAGAGTGCCATCGATCTGCTGCAGGTGATCAACCCAGACAGCTTTGCAGCTATCACTTGGCAGATAATCACGAGTCCCTTGGTGCAGCACCTTCATTGACCGGACTCTTCGACTTTGCAGCATGACGATCAAAACGACGGCCCTCAATTCGCGGATTCGGTCTCTAGCTCAGGTTGCTGCATGGGCTTTGTGGCACTGGTCACGCCCGTCCAGGCATCGACTTTCTAGCAGAGCGTTGGAAGCGTTCTGGTTCGGCACTCATGGCGGCATCAGAATATCGTGTGTGTGTGTGTGTGGGTGGTGTGTGTGGGGGGGGTCCCACCCCCCCCCCCCCCCCCCCCAATAGTGTATTTTTTTCCGAGTGGGGCCGGTGGGTGGAAGAAACCTATTGGGCTGGCGGACAACCCCAGCGAGCAAAGCTGATGCCTTAAAGAAGCACTCACCCCGCCGGATCGGGAAGCTTGGCGATACGGGCTACTTGTACCCCCGAAGTCCGTCCAGCGGGGCTTCATTTAAAGCCGTCGGCCCTTGGAGCCACGCTTCAAAAAAAGGCAAGGGCCGGAATCAAAACAGTTCATTGTAGCTGCCACCCAAAGCGAATGTAGGTTGCTCAGGCCGGGCAAACTTTACTTTCCATCAATCAGGCGTTCACATCACAAGGGCCGAAGCCTTTCCTTGCTTGAGGTTCAACTTCAGACTCCAGCTTCTCTCATTCGGGCTCCTCCATGGTGCAGGTTTCAGAAATCAGACTCCACGAAGAAGCACTGGGGATGCTGCACACAGCGAAGCCCACACTTCGATTTCCAAGCACGGCCGAGCCTTTCACCAATCCACCGTTTTCGTAGCTTTGACTGGTCAAGCCAGGTTGGGCTTCTTGACATGCGCTTCGATGCGATCTTCTTTCTCAGCTTATGCGTCTCGGCCGACTTCAGAAGGGAAGGTCTAGGACAGTTTAGGACTCTATTTTAGGACCTACGGATGGCGTTGGATGATTCGGAACTGCACAAGCCGCCATAAATACCCGGCCTCTCTATGCAAGCAGGAGGGCAAAGGCAAAGATGCCACGAGAGAGACATTTTGGTAAAGGGCAGGGTCACGTGTTCTATTCTCTGCCTCCATGTCCCGTCCAATCCGTGCAATCCCGCAGACTCGAGGGAAATCCCTTCTTGCAGGTGTGGATATCGTCTTCCTCATCGACATGATCCTGCAGCGCTTTGGCTCAAAGACCGAGCCCGAGATCTTCAGAGCCCCGAGCCCGCGGCGACCGCGGTTTAGAGCTTAGGCTTAGGCCATGCCATTGACAAGTTATTGGCTTATAGTTGTTGTGAAGTCAGGACAGATGAGGCCGTTACTCTTTGTCTCGTAGCTCCAGCGCCAACTGCGATCGAGGAGAAGTTAGACAGCTACAGCAGGCAATACTTCAAAGGCACATGAGGTAGATCTCCTGCCCGAGAGCGTGCGCAATACGCAATGCCTTGACTCTAATGTCGGTGCCGGCTATCAGCACGACGGTCTCCCGAAAATGACATTTGCAGGTTCTTCACCATGTACCCGAAGTCCACAGCCCGGGGCGTCGAGTGGGAGCATCGCTGTGACCACATTTGCCACTGGGCTGACAAGAGAAGTTGCAAGCACGGGCTGCTGTAATTCATCGCGCGTAGGCATTTGTTGAAGCTGCGACCAAGGCGCCCACTACGTCAGGATGCCTGGCTTTAAAGCATGGCAATGCAAGGCATGAAGGGCATGCAAAGGCCGAAGGGCAATTCAATGCACGCTAGCGGAATTGGGTCTTCGCTCACTGGGCCAAGTGCGGTCGTCGAAATGGTCGCTGTGTCGTTGTCGCACCGATAGAGCAGTAGCAGCGGCAGCAGCGGCACCGGTGGAGTAGTCGTTGTAATCTTGCGAATGTCGGGGCCATGGGTGGTAGGTTGCTGCTGCTCGTGCTGATCAGTAGTAACGATGGGGGAGTATTCCGGTCGTTGGGGCACCGGTAGTTTCATGATTTCATGCATTCGGCGGCTTGGGTTGCGACCTAGGACGTGGTTCGCTCTCGACTTCGTCACCATCATTCCTTTCGACATCTTCAGCTTGGCTTTCGGCACGGACAACCTGAAGGCAGGCTAGCTTGTGACTGCCTGAACTTCAGCTCTCCGGCCCAGCACCCAAAGTCCACTATAGTTCACCTATATAGTTGTAGAACTATATACAGATATATGTGCATTTGCTTTTCTGTTCTCTCTATGTCTCGCTTTCTTTGTCGGTCCCTCCTCAGCACACGTCATGACAGCGCAGACGGACAAAGCCACGTACACACCCACTCGCGTGCGCCTCCCCCCCACACCCACACACCCGTCCATCCCACCCCCACCCATCCGCAGCAGGAGCTGAAGAGCATCAAAGTGGTGCGAGCTCTCCGCTTGCTGAAACTGATGAGGTGACTCGGCCTGAAGCCATGGGCTTTCTGCTTTCACCAGATCTGGTATGAGTTGAACTCAAGCCGAGCAGCGAGCAGGTAATTTCTGGCATAAAGCAGAAGAGCGCAGTTCGACGTTTTGCACGCAGCCGGGGCGTGGCAAACCCGCAGTCTTCAGTTGGTACTGCACCCTTGCCCGTTTGGAACTGGACCAGACCATGTAATCTCAAGCTCCTTATTTCCATTCTGAGGATGCTTAAGTCATCCAGGCTGTTCCTTGGCAAGATCTTAGAGTAAAACAGCGCCTTTCGAAGATAAGAGCTTTGACGGTGAGGGGGGGGGGGGCAGATGCTTGGCCTTGAAGTTATGGGCCGTCAGACACCTTCGTGCACCGCGACCGTAATTACGGGGAACACGTCTTGACTCGTTGTGCAGATCCTTTGCTTGAAGCGAAGGCTTCACAAACTGGAGATTGCACTCTCCATCCCCTACCAGCACTTCGCGCTGATCAGATTTCTGTTTGGCTTGGCCCCGCGGCTCACGACTTTATGGATCTACAGACTCTGGGTCTCAATACGGCAGCCGCAGCATGCATCCCAAGCTTTCGCGCTTCTGACCCAGGTCTTTTTGTGTTCCCTGTCTTGGGGTCTTAGATTCTCGGGAGGGAGATGCTGCGCGAACGTCTTTGAGGCCAACAAGTTAGCAGCAAGTAAAAGCGCAAAACGGTGCAAAACACAAACACAGACGCAACAACACTCAATCCATTAAGCTTGCACCTGATGCCGGCCAAGGTTTTGGTTTGCCACTGGTTATCATGCTTTTGGGCCATGTGCTTGCACCTTGTGCCTCGGACCAAGTCAGTTACACGAGAAGCGCCTAAGTCACGCACATACTGCTTCCCGCAAGAAGAATTCGGTCAATCGAGTTTCGGAAGCTCGAGCCCGTCACGTTTTCGTATGTTCGTTGAGTTTGAGGTTGCAGTAGCTAAGTTGAGACCGGGGGACTCGGAGCCGTAGCATTGCCTTTCTTGGCCGTCTCCCAATCCGAGAACGCCCAACCACGGGTTCTGCTCGAAGACGGTGGAGCGAATGAATATGCTGTAAAACTAAGCAGTTGAATGCAGACACCTCGAGGAAGTGCAAGTCGCTTTTAGTTTTCTGATTCGATGGCAATGCTCCTTCCACCAAAGGCATGCGTGCGCCCAAGCCTTTAGAAAAATCCCGACGAAGTCTCATGCACCCATTTCAAAACGGAGGTCAACGATGACATCCCAAAGTGGATCGATGACATCGCGGCATCGGACGCCCGCTTCGGCATTGAAACCAGCCCGATACGAGTGTACATTGCGTGACTCGGACTGATTTCGGTGTTCCTTCGACGTTTGCTCAAGGCGTTTCAGAATATCTCACGTTCACGTGCAGTACAATCACTTTAGTCAAAGCGTCCCACCTTGCTCCGGGTTTGCTTGCGCAGGCCTTTGAGTTCAGGTACCAGTGCCAGCATCACATTTCACGGCTGCTCGCTGCTTTGATCGCGGTAGGCTAAAGTGCTAGCTTGGGTGTACTGTCAATGTTTTTCGAGTCCTTCAAGGAGCTACACTTTTGTGTGACTTCTGTTTACATACGGCTGGGTTTATGTACAACCCGTTGCCTACCAACAGTAAGCTCCACAACTAGGGTCCAAACCAGCAAGCCCTTCGACAGGTCTTTCTATTTCTGCAGCTACACGATGACCTCGGTGGGCTATGGTGACCTGGGTCCTCAAAATATCCTCGAGCGACTCTCGGCCGCACGCTAGGGGAACCGGAGTTGGGGAGACCCAGGATGTCGCAAGTTCAGGAATTCGTAGGCCAATCATTACCTAGCGCCAGCATCCGCATCCTTCCGCCGCCGACTTGTGAATCTGATCTTGTTGGCAGCACCCCGTTTCCCGAATGACTTCCCGTGCCTGCAGGCATTGTTTGTACCATCATCGTCCTCGTTGCAGGCCGGGCTGCTGCTTCTGAGCGAGGTGTAGCACAGCGGTATCAGAATCATCTTCCGAGGATTCCAGATCTCAAGCTTCAAATGCTAAGGGTGCAGCTGCCGCAGAATATGAGTCTTGGTAATGGCAGGCTCGCCAAAACGTCGCAATTTTCGCTTTGCATATCCCAGAAAAGACATGTGCAACCTTTCTGTTGGGCAGACCTCACATCATTACCCTCACCTGGAGAGGCCTGTGTTGGGCGCAGATACTGGGAGAGGTGTGTGCCATCTCCTCTGACATGAAGCTTGTCCATTTTCCCTTCGGGCACCGCTGACAGTATACAGTTGAGGTTGGCCGTGTCGGCTTTCCGACATGTTTGCATCAGTCAAATTTCTTCTTCTGAATATGCAGCGCGAGAAGTGTTGGTTATGCGCGTGCTCTCCGTCGAGCGTCGAGCGAGGGATGAAGCGCTCGGCTTTACAGCTCGCCCCTCATGCGGCCACCAAGGAATGCCGAGACGTCTGCCTTCCGAAAGAAGATGACGCATGGCGGATGTAGGTTTACAGAGCAGCCGACTATTCGTTTGGATTGCAGTAAATCGTGCAATGCTCAAGGCTGACTGTCAGAACAGGCTCTGGCTTTCCGGACACTACCCTTAGTCATAGTCCTTCAGGTTGTTTGATGTACTGTTCAGGCAAACTTACGAGCAGTCTGTCGGAGGCCGAGGCAGGGCTGAAGGTTCAGGTGACAGATCGTGAGTGCCTTCGCGTCATGTCCGAGGGACATGTCGAGCTGTTGCACATCCGACGGCACAAGCTTGTGTCCTGCGCGAGATCCAGTTTTTGAGCATGAAAAGAACTTTAAAGATCATAAAAACCTACATGTTGCAGTCATTGATACCATGGATGCATCCAGTTGTGAACGGCTGCCTCCAGCCAGGATTGATATCGCAGCACACCTACTTACATTTGTTCATGGAACCTCCCCGTATTTGAGCAGTATAATGAGTTCAAGACCGACCATCCGACCAACCATTCTTCCATTCACAGCTTTTGCCTCAACCCTGGTCTGGGTTTGGTTCCTTGTCCCGTTTGCCCAGGAACAGCTTGAACATGATGATGCAGGCCATTGCCATGTGCAGACAACACGATACCATGCCATTTCGCCAGCTTCAAAGCCATCAGAATCGTGTGCAGCATTGTTCTTCGCTGTGGTCTCTGTGTGACAAAGTGTGCAGAAAGGTTCCCTCGATATATCTCAGCATATGCCAAATTTCCGATGATGTACTCGCAGGGTGCTTAGTGGCTTTATGTAACGATCCATGGGACTGAAGCTAGTCTTCGGGCTTCACTGATGCAGTGTTCAGTCTGGTTATTATGTCACACGAGCCTTCGGGCGAATGGCTGCAGGTTTGCAAGTGATAGTTGCCAAACCCCACGAGGAGCAGGGACTTCCACACGATCTGCGACGGCGCCTCCGCAGCTTCTTCCTGCAGCCATGCTGCATTGGTGGAAACCAGAATCCTGGTTTGGTTCCGGGTGTGCTTGTGTGGATTCGGCAAACTTACATGAGATACCCAGCACTTTCTTCGATTTCTCGCTCTGGCCATTTAGGACCGCGCAGCAGTCTGAGCTCGCATGTTGCTCACATGGTCTGCGCATGATCAAGGGTACTTGGAGGGGCTTTTCACGTGCAACAGGTGACGGCTGGTTCCGCATCGGAAGGTGATTCCAATTGCCCATGAGGGTACAACCATTATACGCTTATTCGACGCCTTCCAACTTCAAGGGCATGTCAAGGAAAGCAGAGTAGTTCAGAAGGAATCTTGCTGCAGAGTTGCAACCAATCAGGCAGAACCGACACCAAGCGCAGTATGTGACTGGGCAAAACTGGCACGGTGGCAAGGACGGTGGCAAGGTTCTCGCTGAGACCAGTTTGTCGTTCCTGAAGTGTTCATGTCTCCAAAGACTACCTGACTCTCTGCTCGGCTGACGAGTTGCTTGCCGGCCCGAGGTTGTGCGACAAAAGCTTCTGGACAACATGAGCCCACAGCTCCAATCAGAGGTGTGCACGGAGATGATGCTCGGTAGCAGCATGGGCCAGCATGGGCTTCATGGGCTCATATGGCGGTTGCTGCTTGAGCCCTATCCAGACTCCAACCAAGTGTAAGGCTCTGGACCGACGGGTGTGTGTGTGTGTGTGTGTGTGTTGTGTGTGATGAGTAACGAAGAGTGTAAAAACCCAGCATCTTTCTCTTCCTCCCCGGCTTTCCGTACAAAGCCTTTAGATCCGAAGCATACGGTTGCAAGATCCTTCATGACAACGCCTTCTGAAGAGATGACTTGGTTGCTGCTGGTAACTCGCATGTACTGCTGTGGTGCTCGCATGCGCACTCGCCTCGCAACGAAGGGCACTATTTGCTCAGAAATTCTCCGGTTGAGTCGGAACAGTGAAGTCACTGTGGACGTTAGATGATAGCTGCGACACTAGCGACTGGACATGCCCGCGAACCAGGAACCTGCCCTGGATCCAGAAAGTGACATTCTTCTCGCAGCTTGATTTGCAGGAAATGCTGATAGGCTGTTGTGTTGGACGTCGGATGCACCAGGCTTTTTTGTTCAGTGTACTCCCGATTTGCGAATGATCCTTCGTGGATGTGGTGTTGACGTGCAATTATTGGTCCGGGGCCAGGCTTGTGCGCGAAACGGCGATATACCTGAGCTCCACTGAAACGGCGATAAGCCGAGTCGCTGAGTCGCTGAGGCAGTTTATGGCACAAATCGAGATCGCTGAGAGCCGCGGCATCGACACGGACCCTTATCGCGTCTGCATCGCCGACACCTCCAGGCCGAGAGCCGAGAGCCGGCAGTCTGCGCAGAGGGCAGAGCAACGGAGAGCCGTGCAGAGAGAGCCGTGCAGGACAGGTGAAGCGCAGTAGGTGCTTCAGCATTGAGGCAGCTGCGTTGTGGAGCCTTTGCCCAGCGAGAGAGCTTTGACAACATCCAGGTCTTGCATCTCGGTTTGCATCCATCACTTGGTACCTGCAAAAGTGTCTTTGCCTGTCCTTGCCGCAGCATAGGTATATTCTCTCGAAGGGCCTCGTAGTCCTGAACAGCAAGGCAGGCATCGAGGGCCCACCTTCCTCGGGACACAGTGACCAACTGCACGCTGCGCTCTGCACATGTAGTCCTTTCAGCAACAGCCCAGCCACGTCGCAGGTTGGCACAAATGGCACGGTTTGGGGCGAGGCATCGTGGCTTATCGTGGCTTCAACAATCATTTGCAGTTTTTGTCTGTTTGCATGCGCAGGTTGTGCATTTTGCAATTGTTCAGGTCATGCGTCGGGTTGGTCCGTTGTCTATTCAGAGCGTGCCTGTCTGTCGAACCAGCTTTTCCAAAAATACGTGGCAGAGGATCGAGGAAGCGCTCTGCTGGTTGCAGAGCATCTGCGACATGTGAAACGAGCACAAACCTGCAATTTCGTTCGAGTCCAGCAACAGCTATGGACTATGGAGTGAGTTCAATTTCAAGGTGACCTTTTCAACGGGGGTTGCTGCGCCTTCCGTCACGATCTGCCACTTCACCTAGCTTGTCCTCCATGTGCAGACTCTCCCCAGTTTATTTATGTGTACAAACTAGCATGCACTACTTAAGCCCTTGCACTCGCAGGACTTCGTCCTCTCTGACACAAGCCTCATCAGACCTGTCGGTGGCTTTGCATTGACGTACATCGAGGCGCCCTTGCTCGCACAGATGCAGACGGGCGAAAGCTCTCATCATGTATAGCACATCTCGTCGCATTGCGCGAGGTTCTCTTTCTCACCAGGGAGAGCTTCATGCAGGCCGAACGAATCGCGAAGCTTCCAGGAAGGATCTGTGGATCTCGAGCAGCCAGGAAGCCTGCAATTCGAAGCAAGGGTTAGACAGCCCGACGGTTTAACATGAACTGCCACAGGTTATCGAGCGCCGACGACTGACGTGCCCTCAGCTTGGGCGGTCGCTCGGACAGTAAGAACGAGGCGTTCACGCTCGGGTCTTGAGTTCTGACAATTCACCCTGTAACGTGGACGAGAATTGTACAGGGAGTGCAATAGTCCTGACAATTCACCCTCTAATGCTGGGGTCATGTTAATAAATCAGGTGCGTGGGTGTCTCTTGGGGCAGCGTCTGGGTTGGGGGTGGGAATGGTAAATTTTGGGCCGTGTCTGGGGTTCGTGTTATGAGTAGTATTAGTAATAGTTGTAATAGTACTACTACTAGTAGTACTAATAGTACTAAAAGTACTTATAGTGCTAATAGTACTAATAGTACTAACAGTACGAATAGTACTGCCTCCGTTTACGTAGAATCGGAATCAGGCAGAGGCCTCACGTTTAGCTGCTGCAGCTTCCTGGAATCCGGAGTCTCTGGCTTCTTGCCAAAAGGCCATTGCTTCATAGCCTTCCCAAAAGCAAGGCCTCTAATCGGGAGCCCCGTCCCGAAAAAAGTTTATTATTGTCGCCCCTTTTATCGTTGCGATCCGCAGGGCTCGTAAGGGACACCCTTACCGGCTTTGTGAAATGGCTCCTTCTACATAGAATCGGAATCAGGCAGAGACCTCACGTTTAGCAGCTGCAGTTCCCTGGAATCCGGAGTCTCTGGCTGCTTGCCAAAGGGCCATTGCTTCATTCATAGCTTTCCAAACAAAAGCAAAGCTTCTAATCGGGAGCCCCGCCCTGCTAGTTTCTTGGCCTGGCAGCCTATTTTGTCGGGGATTTTGGGCGGGGGTATATTTATTGTCACCCCTTAAATTATTCCGACCCGGCCCCGGGAGGTATTTGTATTCTCACCCGGGTTATAAATCGGACTCTTACATTAACGTGGACGAGAATTGTCTTTATCACTGGGTGACCGGCGACTGCGTCCGTGTGACAGGGGGTGCAATAGTCCTGGCAATTCACCCTTTAAAGTGGACGAGAATTGTCTTTATCAGCGGGTGACCGGTGACTGCGTCAGCGAAATAGTCCTCACACTGCACCCTGCAGCGTGGACGAGAATTACCGGCGACTGCGTCCGTGTGACAGAGAGTGCAATAGTCCTGACAATTGGCCCTGTAACGTGGGCGAGAATTGTCTTTATTAGCGGGTGACCGGTGACTGTGTCCGTGTGACAGGGAGTGCAAAATTCCACTACACAAGGTCAATCATTTTTCCCAGTACCACAAGATCACTCGAGCATTCCTTGGACAATCCCAAAAGTCCTTCCAATCTCAAGCACAAATTTCCTCAGCTCCGCAACTGTATTTTTCTCAACACTCCCTTTCGACGGCAAAACAACAGCCATTGAGTATCCAGTCTGGATATCAGTGGCAATCAACACCGTCCTCGTTGGAAGGTCATTCTCAGTCGCCATACAGGAGAAGTCAATCTGGGATCACTGGTTGGCATTGCATGACTTTGTCTTCTGACCTCACACAGTGCTCACACCAATGCCTGTAGGGCAGGTGAGTCAGCTCGTGCAGTCGCCATTCACTCTCAGAGGGCTCGCCAGGAACCTCGAGCAGTTTCGGCTTCAGCGCACTCCTGTCCTCAGTTTCTTGCTCGGCATTCTCACCAGCAGCAGGACGATCAAGCGGCACAAACAGTGTATATCCAGTCCACTTGTGACCAGTGGGACCACGCGGGTCCTCAAACTTCTTCACTGATCCATCGGGCACCTCGATGTCAGCCCATTCATTCTGATGGCCAGTATCTATCATTGCAGGGTCACTCGAATCAAAGACCATGGTGCACCTATTGCCCCACAAGCATTCACTCGACAATCCATCCACAGGATTTCGACTCACTCTCACCTGGCGATCCAGTTCCGGTTCCTCAGGCTCAACATTCGTTTTGGCTTCGCTTTTAGGGGCAACTTCATTCGTCTTCACTTCCACAATATCGGCATTCGCCTTCTCAGGAGGCTTCCTGCCAATCTGTAGATCGTAAGGACGAGGCGAACTCTTTCCCGCAGGCCGCGGCTTGTGCGTCAGTCCAAACTCCACTCGTCCATCTGGTAGGTGACTGAGCCAGAGCTGAAGCTGATTCGCCTTTTGCAAGTGTGGCGAAATTAAATGCTTGACCCAAGGATCCAACTGGCGAATAACATGCCGGCACAAGTGTCACGCCTGACTGGCGAAAGTGTGACACATAAGAAATATCGAGACGGGTCAACTGTGACTGTCAGGGATGAAAACTTCCTGACACTGGCGAATACCAGGCCGCGTTATGAAAAGGACTGGCGAGTTCCATCGGAACGCATCGGAGGACTTCATTCCTTGAGCTTCGGCAATCAAGGCGCCAATCTGACAAAGGTGGTCAATCCAACAGTATTCCAACAGTCATGCACATCCGACACACCACGCACAGAGACGTTGTTCCATTCCCGACATTACTTCTGGCAGACAGCTCGTTGCCAGTCTCGCCGCATTTGCCACGGCTAATGGATGATCGGGTGACAGTCGGCGTCAAATACAGCAGTGTGCCTTGCCGCACAATCGGCACAGGATTGCCAGTCGGGTCAATCATTGCAAGGAAATCCTTCGCCATTGCAGTCCTCAGAAATCTTGCAACAACAGTCGTGCGACACTGACCAGTGGAAACGGGATGCCAGAGCACAAATAAAACTGCACACTCAACGAATGGCCATTGCCACAGTCAAGCTGCACAATCTTCCGACCTTGCACATCCAGCGTCTTTCCAGACAAGCGCCGCAGTGACGGTGCGTTCTCAATCAACGGCAAAATCGGATATTCCGGTGCAAACCATTCAGGGCAACAGTTCGCGCAAGCACGGCTGTCGAACAATATCCAAATCTCGTCGATCAGTCCAGCTTGCATGTGAAACTCAACCAGCTGTCATCAAACTCAATCGGATCAGTCTCGGGCATTTGCGCCAGGTTCGGCGCACTCGGAGTCGGCGTTGGAGGCACTCCGGAATTCAGTGCGCCAATCAACAGGCAACCCCCGACGAACAAGTTCGTCATCATTCTTGGCGGTGTCCTGACGGATATTAGCTCCTGAGCTTAGGCACCATCCGAACTCATTGGAGCCTCAGGTTTCCACCAATCCTGAGTGTTCCAGGACCAGTCCTCGGGCCAATAACTCCAGTCGTCTTCGAACCATGACCAGTCACCGGACCAATCGTCAACAGAACCAATCCACTCAGAATTCCAATCTGATTCATCCCATGTCCAATCATTGTCATAGTACTGGTACCATTCGTCATTCTGGTTGCAATCCTGATTCCATTCTCCTCGCTGGTTTTCATTCTGGTTCTCTTCACCAGTCACTGCTGACATTTTACCTTTACCTCCTTTCGGGCATTCCTGAACGGTTTGGTGAAAAGGGGGTATATGTGTCCAGCACATCGCCGACACCACACCACACGGGCCCGGGAGAGTCCACCGCCAGGATGGTTCAATGCCGAAGCCGTGGGGCCATGTGGACATGTTTGATCGAAACCAATGAAACAGTGGAGGCGTGGGGGGCAGACCGGAGCTCAACTGAGCCCCAGATTACGACCTGTTTCAGCTAGGGCCAGACAATGTGCTCCGACTGTGCATTCAGGCCTTGGCATGGAATGTCGCGGAAGTTTCCGAAGAGAATCTCCCGGACTTGCTTCAACATCTGCACGGTCTTGGGTAAGCACCTGCAGACACAACGCGGATGAAGACTTGCAGAAGAACTCCATCCACTTCGTGAAAGCCGACATGCCGCGCCACACGACCAACGCACGAACGTGAAGAGCCAAAACCGCTGCAGCAAGCAGCCCATAGTGTGGGGATTCGATGCCGATGCGACAAACAGACGATCAAGGATCCGCATGGACAGGGGGCCACGGCAGCTACATGCAGCTGCTGTACCGGCAAGGCCCTCACAAGCCGATGTATTTCACGTACAACCTGTTGCATGTACCACAACGTGGCCGTCCGTCGGATGGCCACGGCTGAACATGACACCGTTACGGTAGAAGCAACCACGCATGAGACCCGAGGCCCCATATAGAAATTGAGCTAGAGACAGAGTTAAAGCTAGAGACGGAGATGGAGGTAGACAGAGAGAGATCGCCAATAAACAACTTCCACCTGAAGCAAACCCTTGTAGCGTTGATCCTCCACTGAAGCCGGCCAAGGATCGTGAGAAGATATTGCATCCGCGTGGCTGTCCGACGCGGCGTGATCTATGAAGCAAAGCGGATCGCAAGACAGCGGCGGCGAGAAGAGAGGCTACGCCGCCTCTTGCCAAAGTTTCAAGATTAACATCATCCCTTTCTGCCGATGTTCCTGCTGCCTGTGAAACATGCTCCTCGCAAGCCTGCAGGGAGGGTATGCAGTGTTCGCATTTCGCCGCCAGTCTAAAATAAAATCTGCCTTAACCGCCCATGTGTGGGCCTGGAAGATGCGATGTCAGCACTAGTGCGGAACAGTACTTCGTTTCTTGCAAGCCCGCCCCCACGAGTCCGCGAGGTTTCCCCAGGATGAACCAACTCAGGAATGGAAGAGGAAGGCGACGTGCCCAGTGGCATCGAGGTGCCTCCACTGCCACCGGAGCAACAGGACCAGTGGGGTTCGGAATCGTTCAGTCGAAGCTTTCCGTTGTGCATGGGCCCATGGCACAGTAGCAGGACGCAATGTCGCAACCTGCATAGCCTGTCCTTCTCAGTTGTGCACGCAGCCTATTTCTGTACCCTGTGAGGACGTCAGCTGCCCGTCGCAGTCATTGCCAGGCATGCCGGAGATAAGGGCAGGCCAGCGGACGCTTCCGAGAGGGTGCACCACTAAGCCTTTGAAGACAGAGCCTCTTGTTCAAGCCTTCAGACAGACATGGCTGCATAGTTGCAAGAGAATTAAGCAAGGTTGACATGTCAAATCCTTTGCCCGGGTTGCCACTGTGTGCTATATACCTGCTGTCGCCGAGGGCCACACATGCACAAAGTAAGACAACACTGCAAGTCAGAGATTGGGCAGCCCTACTGCCGAACATTCGGTACCCTTATAAAGTATTTAAACTCCTTCACTTGGCTTAGCCAGGCGCGCTGTTGTAGCATTCCGCCAACCTTCATCTGGGGCGGCTTGGATGCAACCTGTGAGTTGGGTCATGCTAGGTGCTGATAACACGATCTTGCCTGTGCTGCCAGGGACGTTCACTCTATACTGTTCACATCTGGGGAGTTCTGCGCTGAAGATGTGTCGTCCTGCTACGGGTAGGTGCTACTCGTTCCATGCTGCTTCAGCTGACGGTTCCCGTCGTTGACACTCAGACCATGAGACGGGCGAGAATGTGCCCTGTAGCCGAAGCTGCTATCAGACCCCAAAACACCCCAAACCTGGGGGCGCAGCGAAGCCTTGCGAAGCTAGCGCTACAGCCTCAAAGAAAGAGCAGCGTCCGCACCTGATTCTGCAGCTTCGAAGAAGTAGGGAATCTTCTCATCAAACTCAGGGGCCGAATGTTTCACACTTCCATGTACGTGGGTTCGCTCAAAGGTAAGAGGGAGGCACGAGCTTCTCGTGAGTCATCAGCCTGTGCGGCACCTTGCGCACGTAGAGTGAATAAGATAGTCTTCTGGGATAAGCCATCGAGCAGAATGGTTTCGCAGGAGAGCCCGCGTACACGGAGACACATTGTAAAGAGGCGCTTGGACCTATAAACTGCATGATTTTCGGGAGATCTGCAGACACTCGCCGCCTTCTTTCCGCTGGCCAGCTGTCCGTCAAGGACATGTCAAGGGATGTGACATAGACGATACCTTTGTGCCGTATGCCACGCACAGAAATTTGCGCCATGTTTCAAAACTGTAGACGGTAGACGCATGTTTGGGTGGAACATGATGCAACCTTGCTCTGAGCCAACTATTGCTTTCATGGTGTCTGCGGGGCGTGAACCTGAACCAACGAAAATAGAATTCCTGCCGAGCGAAACCCCATATTTTCCAGTCGAGCTGGAACGGACCCAGGTGGACAGCCCTCTCGCTGGATGAATGATATTGTTCATTTAATGTACGGGGCTTAACTCTGTTTGTAAACATGCTTGCTGAATGTCCAAGGACGAAGCCTTATAGTCAACAGCATTACCTTGAATCCACGTTCGGCGAAAGTTTAAAGTTTTCGGTACCAAGAGCAGGGCCAAATTTTGCCACATTGCCTCGGACAGCCTTTAATTTATAAGCGTGTCTCGAGGAGCGCTTGAAGACACCGCTTCCTGCACAGTTCGTTTCATATTTAGGCTTAGCCTTTCGCTTAGCAGCCTTGTTGCTAACATATGCGCTAGATATCTGGCTTCTATAATTTGATCAGTCCAATGTTCAGCACCGTACTTCTGCCTATTCCTGATTTATGTTCAGGTCTGCTCCTGGTGTTCGTAACATGGTGCGGTTCGTGTCTAGGGCTAGACTTTTCGCCTTACCGTGATTCATTTCTTGTGTGGGTCCAAATTTTTTGCGTAGTGAATGTAGCTCGCTTGATGTTTGAAACCGCATCAAATTGTAAGTATAGTCATTCCAAATACGGGAAGACAGGCAATGCATGCTTGGCGTTGGGGTCGATGTGTAAACTAAACTGCGAGATGTTCCTCATCAAGTTTGTGGTTGCGTTAACCATCGGTTAACCTGCTCCGCAACAACAGCGACAATCGCGGAGATCATGGCTTCATGCCTGCCACAGTTGCTATGGTGGAGATCCGCAAATCAGAATGCGTGTCCCAAACTTACGGAAGCAGGGAGCACGCGAAGAAATAATGGACGGAGNNNCCCCCCCCCCCCCCCCCGCCCACCGCGTGCGCCCTCCAAGAAAGTTATGCGGAACGCGGCACCAACAGGTCTGATCCCAGCGACTGTCACGAGGATCGCGTGGGTGGGGGCTTAGCAGCACTGGACCCGAGATGAGTGCGGTTCGACCTCCGTCCGTTTGCGCCACTTGGACATCGATTCAACTTGCTCGAAGTGGTTCAAGAGCCACGCTGCGAGGCTCCTTGAGGTCCTTGGTGTGGACTCGTACATTCGGGGAACGATTTCGGGGTGCTGTCTTCCGTCATGCCTCCAGTTCATGGTCCCTTAATGGTGGTTCTTGTGGTCGTGCTGCAAGGCAACCAGCCCAGATTAGAAATCCGGCCGGCGCAGCGATCTCCACAAACAAACGTTACGACTTCACTTGTCGACTGTACCTGCCCTACCTGC